CCGAGCATTGCCCAGAGCCCACCTGCAGAGGGGGAAACTGAGGCACAGTTTGGCAGGGAAGCGCCTTGTGCCTCTCGGCAGTGGCGACAGGGCCTGCTTTGGTGGGGGCTGAGACAAACCCATTCAAAGTTTGGGGTCTCAAACCATCCCAAGCTCCCGTGACAGCTGGGAGGGTTTGCCCTCACTGGTATCCCATGGAGAGGTGATAGGGTCCCCAGAGACCCCCAGAGAAATGGCACCACCCCAGAACCCCCCACCGAGGGCTCACACCCCCCGTCCCACATGTCCGCGCTCGAGCTGTCACCTGAGGCCGCAGCAGCTAGCTGGGCAAGGAGGCAGAGGAGAAGGCAGATCCCAGGGGAGAGCAGCCGCCCCATGTTGCACACCCCGGCTCCGTCCCCAAATGCCGCCTGCGTCCAGGGTGGGGGGACAGCCCTTTATGGCCCTTCCCTGTCCAGCCAGAGGGCTGAGCCCCGCCGTGGGTGAGACACGATGGGCTGATAACATTCAGGGACTATCTCCCAGCCCTGCCCAGGGCCCTCCCAGTGCCCCCAGCCCTCCCTGGGGCCTCCCCCACACCGGCGAGGGAGGACCTCCAGCCCGTCCCTGGGGACCAGAGTACCTCGGGGCCCCCACCTCCCATGGTGGCGGGTGTCCGGGGGGGCGCCAGGAGGGGGCAGGCGTTTTTTTCAGGGAGGGTGCAGGGCAAAGTGCTGTTTTTGCAGACAGGCTGAACTGGGCCGGGCTGGATTGGCCTTGTTTCCCCTGAGACAAACCCGAGGAGGAGGACACCGGACTAGGGGTAGGGGGAGGACATCTTGCCTTTTGTGTCAGTGTCCTCAGGTCCCCTCTCCAAGGGGACACGGTCACACGCTGCCTGTCAGGCCCTGGGGCAGCCCGTGCCAGCGCACCCGCACAGCAAGGCACCTGCCACGGGCAGGGAACAGCCCCGTGTCACCAGCACTCAGCGACGAGCAGGAGACCCTGGAGGAACAGGCTGCTCCCACCCGCTCCCACGTCCGAAGGTGATGTCCATGCATGGTTGCACCAGGCCACCTGGAAGGACGCGACCAGCAGCGCAACCCCTGGGGACTGACCGCAGGTGGCCCTCATGGCTTTCACAGCTCGCCAGCTCCTGGGGAGCGTGTTGTACCCAGCCCTGACCCACCCCTGGGCCCGATCCCCCATCCTGAGCCGGGCAGCCCGTGTTTGGCCAGCTCCTGGCTCCTCTGCTCAAAGGGCAGACTGTCCATGCCAGGGCCACATTTGCCACCACCCATGAGGCAGAGTGAAGCAGGGTCCCCTCTCTGCCTGGCACAATGGATCCACTCCTTCTCGCCAGACGT